ACTTAGTTACTTTTTATGGAAAGTAATGCATTACGTTACTTTTTCTCGTCTGGGCTGAGCTTGCTTGTTTGTTTTTAATATAAAAAAGTTCTATTTTTGGCAAATGTAAAAGCCTTTCCCACCAAAAGTGAAATGAATGAGCCTCAGGCTGAAGGACATGTAGATTCAAAAAGCTCAAACAATCCTTTCATTCTGGATCACAGCAAGAACAGAACGCAGGAGAGGAAAGTTCAACATTCTCCAGCCATAAAACAAAAGAAACACAAATGTGATGTTTATCTAAAGTCATTTTTGCTCATTCGTGTGGTTGATTTGGATCACAGAAGGTCAGCAGCAAAGACACTGGTTAATAAAATGGGATTTTTGTCATATTCCGAGTTTGCATTTCACTGTTTTTATTGATTTTGAGGAATACTGAATGCGTTTTTGTGCAGTGAGATGAGTAATGCATGTTCTCATTTATTCCAGATCCGAGTCTGGATCATATTAAGACTCGGATGATCAATTTTAAAACATTTGAAAAGCAAGTCACGTAAAGATTGCGTTCAGTTTATGATGTTAATACTATCTCCATCCAGCAGAGGTCGCTAGTTTCCAGCCACTTCTCTATTAATTTCAGTGTAGTACGGGCACTCTAATGTAAACATTCACTAACATTAGCAAATAATAAATGAAAAACTGACCATGAAAACAGTATTCTCAAGTCAAGATGGTAAACAAATTATCTTTTTACCAAGTTCAAGGGGATACCCATATGTTTGTAAATCTGTATTTTATTTAAATCGCCATCACACTACTGCTCCTAAACAACGGGGACGCCAGAGTAGCACTTGCCTCACATTTCAAAGGTAAAATTCATAATCAACAAAAGCTTTTTGCCAAATGCATGACAGAAATGTTTGCACTGGACTATGTTCTTATTAGGGTTTCCGCGGGTCCTTAAAACGTCTTCAGTTAAATTGTTTACATTTAAGGCCATGCAAACTCTTAAATGGTACAAAAAGTCTAAATTATAAGAGGTCTTTGGGGACGGAAAGACAAGAATTTCTATATGGACTAATATGACGATTAAACTTCAAAAGGTTGTGATTTCACCGAATAAACTTAAGCGCAGTGCTGCTTTCTGTACAGCGGTTACCCGGGAAACCACTGTATTTCTGCCGTCCCGAGAGCGCCTCCTGCTGGCAGAGAACGAATCTGCTTTCTCAATAAGCCCTTCTGCTATTTTTACTACATATATTTAAATGTGAACCAGTGGATCGACAAAAAGCTCATGCATTATAAAAATCTAAAAAATTAAGACACTAAGATATTTGTTATTTAATATAATAATGAATTGATAATCGTTTAAATTAATATAATAACTGATACTTTTGACTTTTGTTTAAAGGCTGAAATGTGAAGCGCAGATCTTAAAAAGGTCTTAAACTTGATTTTAAACATCCTGCAGATACCAGGTTATTTTATGGTACCATTTAG